ATCACAAACAAGACCACACTAAAGCTACCAGCACAACTATGTTTATTGCAGCATTATTTACCATAGCTAAGATATGGAACCAACCCAGATGACCCTCAGTAGATAAATGGATCAAAAATGTGATATCTATATCTATATATCTATATCTATATATATTTGGGAATTCTATGCTTCCATCAGCAAGAATGACATCGCTCTATTTGTTAGGAAATGGAAAGACTTGGAAAAAATTGTATTAAGTGAAGTAAGCCAGGCCCAAAGAAACATAGGTTCCATGGTTTCTCTTATTTGCAATAACTAGTATACGTCTGAGACAAGCAGAAAAAGTCAGATAATATGATCTTAGGCGAAATGAACCCCCAAAAGGTACACAAGTGTTTTTTTTTTCTTGCTTGCTACTGTTTCTAACATATTTATAAGGTACCACATCATTTTTTTTGTTGCTTTGTATGTCCCTTCCCCACAGTATAACCCCTGTTTTCACTGTATTTGATGCTGATATAATTTGGGGAGGGGAAGGGAGAAAGCAAGTTGTCTTAAAACATGTGATTCTGCACACTTACTCTAACTGCCTCTACATCATGGATTCAATTCAACTGCCTTTTTTATTTTGAGCCAGTTTCTTCATCGATGTAACAAGCTAGCATCTACCTGCAAGTTCTCTTCTTTCCTTGATGTCCTAACACTCCATACTCACAAGAAGGCTTGACACATAGAGCACGTGTTGCCATGCATTTTGCCATCAGGTCCAAGAACAGGGTCATTTTCTCTGGTGCAGAAAAGAATTCCGTTCTTTGCACGATCTTGGAATTCACTGCAGAGCTTCTAAAAAATGAAAATGGGAGAGTTCAGGCATAGGTCTTCATTCTCTATTTGTAAATTTGACCATTTGACTTCCCAACAAACTTGCTAAAGAGGAGTTAAGGGTAAAAAATGAAAGTTAAAAAAATGAAACTTTCAAGAGTTAGGGCCATTAAAAATTAGCAATGATCATCTTTGTAATATTTACCCACTAACATATTGAATAAATATATTAAATTAAGAAAACATAAGTAGGAAAGTTGCATAGGTCTTTTATGAACCAACTAGAAAGAGTAAATAGTTACATTACACAAAGCTAAGGGGTGTAATCAGATCTAAAATAAGTGTGAACTTGTACAAAGTAAGAAATAGTTTATGAAAATTCCAAAAAACTTATGACTTGTTCTGTCTTGATTCTGACTTGAGGACTGTGTTTAGGATGCATACGAGAGTACAAAGTAGCAAAACATCCATCAAGAAGGATTTGGTCATACAAAATCATAGAGGCATTCATAGCACATTTGCTCAAGATTATCTAACACTTCCTTTAACATAGTGTCTTAAGAATAATTGGGGTAAATAGAATGATTTTTAAATGGTTAAAAAAGACCTTAAAAAGAAATCAAATCCAGACCACTAAGCTGTAAAAAAGAATTTTAGATTTTATTCTTAAAAATGTGAACTTGGTAAATATTTACAGTAGATTGCTAGCCAGATCTGTGGATGGATTGAGGGAACAGAAATTGAAGTTAAATTATGATTTTAGATTATACAAGGAGAAAAGGAAGGAAGGGAAAAAGGAAAGGAGGGAAGAAAAGAGGGAAGAAAGGGTTGGAAATGAAAGAGAAAGAATAGCTGAGACACTGTTAGGTACTAAAGTTTGATGAACTTGTTAACCTATGGTAAAGTGAAGGAAAGAAGTTGAAAATAAGGTGCAAATGGTAAAATGGAGTTACATGGAAGCAGAAGATTGGCAAATGGGGAGAGTAGCTAGGTAAGCTGGGCATTATAAAAGCCTGGATATTTGTCTGAGGCAAGTTACACAGGATTTTTCTATCAAGTAAAATGGTTCAAATGTATTGTAGTATATATTGGAATTTCATAATATCATGAACTCATAAAATACCAACTATTCTTTTATTTTTTTAAGTTTATTATAAAGGTATATAGAGAGTGGTTACCATTTCATAAGTACTCATTACCCGACGGTAATGAGTACATTTTCTTTTGAACAGTGTCACCCCTCCCCCATTTTCTCCCAGTTTTTCTCCTCCTGACCTCTTTCCCCTCCAAATTGTATACTTCATTTCCAACATAGTGTCTAGTGAGTTTCACTACTGAACTGGTTCACCCTTTGTCCTACTACTTGTTTCCCTTTCCTCTCCTCCTCCCCCTTCCCCAAATCAGATAAATTTATATACAAGACAAAGGGTACAGGAATCAAATACAGTGAAAGAAGGGCTGGGGGAAGAACTGCAAACAGTACAAAAAAAAATCTCCTGTTTCAGGGACACATGACCCATTGCCACAATGATCCTCGCAAGACATTATGTTGGAAATGAACTTTACAACTTGCATTGGGGAGAAGTGGGAGAGATGGGGGAGGGAAGGGATAGTTCGAGAAAAATAAAGGAGGGGGTAAAAATGCTTGATAAGAAATGTTCTCATTACCTAACTCATGTAAGTGTAACCCCTCTGTAAGCCTTCTTTACAATAAAATAAAATTAAAAAATAAAAAAGTTCTCCTGTTTCCATTTCTTGGAGTTTATTTTGATAAGCGTCATTTTATCTGATAATATGCAGAAATAAAATGTGGTATATATGCCTCATTTGTAAGGAAATGGAGATGGTCTTGTGTATCCAGGAAAATACAGACTAAGGGTATATAGATAAGGGGCTAATGTATCAATGCAAAGAAAAACTCTTAGGGACTCAGATAAGATGGTAGCAATAGAAAAACAGGAAGGTGATGAGTAAAGAGATGTCTAGAAATTAGAACACAGAATGTTTTAAAGAAATTATACTGAAACCTCTACTTTGCTATTTTTGACCTCTACATTGATATGCTTTTAAAATGAATATTTCTCCAACAGAAGGAAGAACTTTTGTCAAATTTTAAATTCAGATAATATATATATAAATATATGTATAACTTTTATTTAAGAATGTAAAATTATTTTACTAAACTTGCTTAGTTTCTTCCAAATATAGCTAGAAATTGCACCACCATAATTTATTTGACATATAATTTATATATCTATAAGTTATAGCAATATATAGTTATATAAGTTATATATAAGGTATAACAATAACTTAAAATTAATTTCCATAAAAGCTATTTGTATAAAAATATTAGCATACAATAGCAAACAATGTTGAAAATACGTACCAGAGTATATTAGAGTAATGTGCTTACATGCTTACATTCCTGCTCCTACCCTCCCCAGAAGTCATAGCTAAATCAATCAATCAAAATCCTGACCTCAGTTTCTCTTCTAACTTTCATTTTTTCTTCATCCTTTGTCACGTTTTGATCTGCTTGATTTTTTTCCTCTGAAAACTGGCGCATGCTGGAGAAAGAAAAAAAAAATAAAGGAGTGAGAAGTGTTTCAAATCTTCATGATAAAATTATTCATTAAGTTTTTCCAATGCCCTTTCAATGATCATTTTGCACATATGCATACATTTATATATGCACATACATACATATTGGTATATGTGTGGTATGACAATAAGCAAGAAAGAATTTCTGGGATCAATGGACCTGGAAGGGAGTATTAAGGAATTCTGTCTGCTATATCTCTTATAAATGCAATAATTCATATCTTGTGGGATGCTCCCCTTTCCCAAACTTATATGTGTCTGATATGTCATTCCCCCACAATGATGTTTCTTATTTCCATGGCTTTTAACTACCTTTTCTTTTCTTTTCTTTTTGTCAGTCGTGGGGCTTGAACTCTTGGCTTGGATGTTTGTCCTTGTGCTCTTCAGCTCAAGACAAGTGCTCTACCACTTGAGCCACAGGGCCACTTCCAATTTTCTAGTGGTTTATTGGAGATAAGAGTCTCAGGACTTTCCTGCCTGGGCTGGCTTTGAACTGCAATGCTCAGATCTGTCTCCTGAATAGCTAGGATTACAGGCATGAGTCACCAGTGCCCACAAATCCTACCTTTTCTTAAGAAGGCAAAGGATTATGAGGACTGATTTTCAATTAGTCACTTAGGAGATCTGATTCAAGGACAGCATTCATTTTTTTGTATATGCCAGTCCTGGGGCTTGAACTCAGGGGCTGGGCCTTTAGATTTTCTTTTTCCACTCAAAGCTAGTGCTCTACCACTTGAGTCTGCCACTTTCTCTACCACTTGAGGGTTGAGAAATGTTGAGAAGTATTCTGCAAGCCAGCCTTCCAATTAAAAAATGGAATCCATTTGTACTTAGAGATAAATGGTCACCATATTGCACACTTACTGGATGGTAAAAAGGACTGGAGGGTTTGTAAGGAAATAAAACTCAATAATTATGAATGACAAAGATTTCCATGCAGTGATACTCTTGGTCATTAATTGGTTCAATCTCCTCTGATACCTTGTCAGTAACTGAGAAGAAATCATGTCTGTACTCACAATATCTCAGCACACAGGGCACACTTGTTGTCATGCATTCTGCCATCAGGGCCACGGACTGGGTCACTCTCCCGGGTACAAAAGAGTTTTCCACTCCTCACTTGTCCTTCAAATTCCTTGCAAAGTTCCTTTAAAACACAGAAGCAATTATGTCCCCCATTTTCCTATTTTTTGGTGTTTAAACTTTATAAGGTAGATTTTAAATCTTAAAACAATATGTCTGGAAGCATTGGTAAAGGTGACAGTATAGTAATGAGAATTAATATAAAAGTCATTATTTTGTCAAATTACTTGTTACTTGCAAGCTGCTTTGTAGTGTATTTAAGAAAATGTGAGAACATTGCAATGTGATTGAACAAGTATTTCCTAAAACCAGAACTAGATAAATCTTGATAACTTTCAATGAAAATAAAAATGAACCTTTTGTAAGGTTCCAAACACATACTATAGCAACCAAGATGCATCCCTCTTGAAGTTGCCAGTGAGTAGATACAAAACAAAATAAGAAGTTTCAGTATAAACATGGATCAAGTCAAGTCAAGAACATCCCGGCTTCATTTGCAAGGAAATAAAATAGGATGACACCCAACAAACACTAAGTGTATTTTAATTGCTTTGCCTATGTTCATTTCTAGCAAAACAGGTGAAAACTCAGAGAAAGTGAATCAAAGTCTTTTTTTATTTTTTTTGCCAGTGATGGGGTCTGAACTCTGGGCCTGGGCGCTGTCCCTCAGCTCTTCAGCTTAAGGCTAGTGCTCTACCACTTGAGCCACAGTGTCAAATCTGGCTTTTTCTGCTTATGTGGTTCTGAGGAATTGAGCTCAGGGCTTCATGCATGCAAGGCAAGCGCTCTACCACTGAGCCACCTTCCTAGCCCCTGAAACTAAGTCTTCTGTTTCACCTCTGAGAGGTTGTGAATGCAAAGAAGTTACATTTATTTAAAAGAGATGTTTATTTCCAGATTTCTTCATGATTTGGTTCAAGGCTTTTTGTTTGGAAATTTTTGCTATTTGATGAAGACTAAACTTCGCCAAAAAAACCCAAATTAGTCTAAACATATGTTGTGACAGCATATGTTATTATATCATAAACTAAAAATAATCTACTGCTACTGTGTGAGTTCAGGTTTCTATTTCACCCAGGAAAACGTGAGGCTAGTGTGTGGATGGGAGGCAGTTAGACGTAGCTCTGATTCCTTCGTAGTTCTGAACTTTGGAATCTATTTCACGACGACATAGTGGACCTTTTAGAATAGGTGCCTATTATGATCTTTTCTAGATACATATTTCCTGATTTTTTTCTGAAATTCTAATTTCATTAGGATGCTTCTAAGTAAAGTTTTTATTGCTTACTATTAAGAAGATACCAGTTTCTGAAGGAATCATGGATATGCTCCAAAGTTCTTGGGGATGCGAATCGAGGAATACTATTCAGAAAATAGTTACCTGATAATCGTAGCATGCTAATAAAATTCATGCTCAATGAATCCCATAATAGAAAGAACGATAATTTCAGTCCATATGTTGTGATTCATGCAAAAAGATTGTGAAGCAGCACTTTTGTAAGCAGCTCACTGACAGGTTAATTACAGGGCATGTATTGAGCCATCACTGTAAAGAAGTGCTATTCAACACAATGATGCCTAATGATCCAGCCACAGAGAGGAAGAGGCCAAGATGGCCCTGACAATCCAAGGAAAAGAAAACAACCTGCTGTGGTTGTCCACTAACGGATGTTCATTATCACAGCATGGCCTAGTGGCTTTTAGAATTAAATTTATGAATTACCATAACATAATCACATTTTTAATTCTTGGCCATTTTTGAATAAGCTGATTTATCTAAATTTGATCTCAGCCTGCTACTAGGAGCTACTGGGAGCTCAACTACATTAAGCAGCATTATGATATGGAAGGTCAGCTCTTGATGAACAAAAATGGAGCCTACAATCCACAAAAGTCATATATTAATACAATACAATCAATATACATAGAATTGAAGTCTGCCAGGAAGGCACAATTGAGGTAATTTATCCAACCTGCTCATTTTGTTGAGAAAAACTCTGAGGTCCAGAGAGGACATGACTCATCGGTCTCACACACCCAGAGTGTGACAGGTGTCTGGACTTCTCAACAGAAGCCTAGCTATTTAGGGCAGTGGTTATTGTCCTCCCAATGAAGATAGAGTTTAATAACCTTGGAGACTTCAGAAGCCCAGCTGGTGAGCTTATTGTACAGTGCATATTTAATTATCAAAAGGGAATCACTTTTTATAGTGAACTGAAAAATTATATTATCAAATAATTTGGAAAAAGCAGCATTATTTTGAAAAACATCATCTCAAGGTATGCTGTCTTCATTCAAAATGAACCAAGATCTTTATTATGCAAATTTCACTGAAAGTAATATCTATATGAAAAAATGAGTAACTCCAATTTAGTCAAATGAGCTTTTTCTTGCAATGTTGATGATGGTAGTAGGGGCTGAACTCAGAGCATTGTGCTCTTCCTTAGCTTCTACTCGAGGCTGGTGTTCTGCCATTTGAACCATACCTCCACTGGTGGCATTTTACTGGTTAATTGGAAAGGAAGGTCTCATGAACATTCCTGCCTTGGCTGGATTGTACCACAATCTTCAAATCTCAGCTTCTTGGATAGATAGGATTAGAAGTGTCTGCCATAAGCTCCCAATTGTCAAATAGAGTTTTATATAAAATGAATCAATGTATATACTATTTAACAAACCTGAAATTTATTTTAAAATTATTCCCATGTAATTTATGTAATGTTGCAATTTCTAAAGATATCCAAAGCAACTTAGATTATACTATATCAGAGAGAAGTCTGATCAGAATTAGAATTTTGTGAGTACACACATTCTCTTATGTGTCCTTTTGGGGTAGAGTGAGGTGTCAAGGTTGGAAATTGTATGTTTTCATCCTTATATGAGAAATGCGGTGTTAAATCTGATCCTAATGATTAATCTATTATGATAAACAAATAGTAAATTTGAAGACTTTTAATATTTTTAAATACATGTGGTGAAAAAGTTCATGTTTATTGTATGATTTCAAAAGCCATCAACATAATTTTGTTAATGTTATGGCTACAAGAATCAAATTTTAAAACAGGCACTAGTGGCTTATACTTATAATTCTGGCTACTCAGAAGGCAGAGATCTGAGGATTGGAGTTTTAAGCTAGCCCAGACAGAAAAGTTCATGAGACTCTTATCTCTAATTAACCACTAAAAGCCAGAAGTGGAGCTGTGGTTCAAGTGGTAGAGTTGCAACTTTGAGCAAAAAAGCTAAGGGAAAGCACTCAGGCCCTGAATTCAAGTCTATGGTACACATATACACACAAACACACACATACACACACACACACACACACACCCTCTCTCCCCCCAAAAAATTGTGTTAATGAGTTATTTACCCTTTCAGCATCTCGTCTAATTCTGTTTCCACCTTCTTGTTTGGCAATTTCTTCAGCTTCTTTTATGCTGTTAAAAACATGGTACTGTATTGAAGAGGAGAATGGCCATTATCAAGAATACTAATAATAACTAATGCTGAAGGAGATGTGGCCAAAAAGGAACTCTATTACACTATTGCTGGGAATATAACTTGTTCAACCACTCCAAGGCAGTATGTAGGTTCCTCAAAAGACTAAACAGAGCTTCCCTATGATCCAGCAATTCCACTCCTGGGCATGTATCCAATAGAACACAAACAAGGCCATGCTAAAGCTACCAGCACAACCATGTTCCTTGCAGCAGAGCCAAGATTTGGAATCACTCCAGATGCCCTTCACTGAACAAATGGATCAAGAAAATGTGGTGTATACACACAATGGAATTCTACTCATTCATCCATAAGAATAATATTGCACCATTCATAAGGAAATGGAAAGACTTGGAGAAAGTCAAAATGAAGTAAGCCAGATCCAGAGTAACAGAAGTTGCACATTTTCCCTCATTTGTGGAAACTAGAATATGCTTATAAATCTACAAGTAAACACACTGGATGGTTAAAAGAAACTCTGGGATAGGATACAGGTTTCTAGGCATTCATAGCAAGTGAGACTAAAGGAGGATATTCTTATGAGAGGATCAGGAAGGCACAATGCCCATGCCCACCAGATCATATAAAATACTATTTATCAAAATGAACTCCAAGAAATGGAAAAAAGAGGTTTTGTTTTCCCTTGTTGCTGTTTTTATTTTCTTTTCATTTTATCTTGTTAGTTTATCTGTCTTTGGGAAGGTAAGAGAGGGCATAGAAATAGGGGACAAAGAGTAAACAAATACATCAGTGGTACTTACTAGACACTATGTTGAAAATGAACTATATAACTTATGGGTGGGGTCAGTAGGGAAAAACTGGGAGAGAGTGAGGGAAGGGGTGACATTGTTCAAAAAGAAATATACTGTTTACCTGACTTGTGTAACTATAACCCCTCTGTACATCACCTTTACAATAAGAAGTGTTAAAGTAAAGAGCTGGTCAGTTTGTGCTCAATCATTTTTTTCTGTGTCCACCCATGCTCATCACTTGCATATCCTGTGCCATAACTTGTTGAAATTGATCCACTTATAAGGGACAAGAACTACCCTGTCTTGAATGCCTGTGCTGGAGAAATTGCCAAAGATAAGGAAGGGTGTGAAACTGACTCATTGGCAGTCAATTACAAGCTTTGTTTGGCAGAACTGGATGGGTGTGCCACCTGGAGTGACAAAACAGGGGGTTGTCAGGAAAATTCCCTTTAACAGGCAGAACCAAGAGTTTGAAATAATGCCATAACAAGGTGAAACCAAACATCCTTTGAGGTATTGCTACCCACACCCACATGGTTAGCTTTCCAAACCCTGTAGAGGTTGGTTTTGCCTTCATGTAAAATCATGGCTTTTAATAAGAGCTAAATTTGAATTGAGCTTCAAAACCTTTTCACGCCTGTTTTCTAGTTATAATCTCAACCTGGAGACAAGCATTGCTTTCTCAGTTCTATGACTGAAGAAACAAAAAGTTTAGAAATGATGATTTAAATTCCAACCTAAAGGTAGCAATACTAGAAAGAGTTGATTTGAGAGATTTAAAAAAATCGAAGTGGATTTTTAAAATCCACTTGGTTAATACTTGTGACCACCAGTTTCATTTCCATATTATTTTTCTTTTTCACTATTATGTTTACAATGATGAATTATAGAGGTGTAGTGAATTGTAAAGCATAAACGTTAACACATGGTTGGAAAGGAATCCAAGTAGTAATAACGGATAATGACTTTGTTGCTTCACTTCAAAGGTTTAAGTATGAATATCATTTATAACTACGGCATGAAAAGGACCTGAAAACCACAGGATTCAGGGCAGGTTTGCACATTTCACCTCGTGCCTCATTAGTCACCAACTGGAAATCCTGCTGATTTCCTGTCTGAAAGCCAGTCATAATCACTGTCAAGTGAACTTGATATAACCTGCCCCTGGCTTCTACATCTAATTGATTTTCAAACACAGGTGTGAAGTTTATTAATCTGGCATAGCTTTCTCTGTTCTGATTTTAAAGATTCAGAGATGTAATATAGCACTGTAAGGTCTTGCTGCCACAAGACTGGAGACTCTACCTTGTTTAGAAGATAGACTATAGAAGTCTAATTACTTCTTACTCATATCTGGGTCTTTAGTGCCTCAGCCAGAAACAAGCATTAGAGGAGGATTAACCCAGTATCTCTTCCCTTTCAAATCATCCACCCTAACACAAAGAATAAACTGAGGTGCATTCCAGTATCATTATTAATTTTATTTAAAATGTAACTATTGTTATTCAGTAAGTGTATCTCTATATTCCCAAATGAAACAAGGCATGTCAAACGACTGTCCGAGATTATTATTGCAGAAGGAAGGACTCGCTAATTTTTGAAATATGATGCATCATTAAGCACTAAGCTCTTTTAAGGTATTATTTTAAAAGTGAAGTTTCTGGTCTAATAATAGCCTAACCATCTCTCCATTCCTTTTCAGAAATTTCTATAGATGACACAGAAAAGAAGTTACTCTGGGAGCATGGCCTATTACATAGTATAAAGCTTCACGAAAAGGACTTGCTATCTCCACGGAGGGTTTCTCAGGAAAGGAGTAGATTGGTGCATGAGGTATGATGATACTTACAAGAGCTCAGCACACATTGCACACTTATTGCCATGAGTTCTCCCATCAGGACCAAGAATTGGATCATTTTCTCTTGTGCAGCCAAGCCTTCCATCCTTCACGTAGGCTCGAAAGGCACTACACACATCCTGAAGAGCAGAAAAAGGAACTTGATCTCTACTGACACCATTTTCAGACATTTTAAAGACCTTGCTTCCTCTGTCACCACAAGGGTCATACAAAAACAGCTTAGTGAGGATGGCAGAATCCAGAGGCTTAAGCACAGACCTCTTTTGTTTGATAAGAATAAATAATGGAGCTAGATCTCAGGTGGATCACGCTCCTTGCCTTCAGTATACTCACAATGTCCTACAGGATGCAGATAAAGAGCTATTTAAACTAGTGAAAGAGCTTAAAGCAAGGGTATCAAACCCTGGTAATCAGAATGCTGTCCTGCTAGAGAACGTCAAAGTGTGATGTGCGTGAGAGCCTTCGATTCCCTACCAACACGGCTCACAGAAGCCCAAGTAGCCGTTTCGTCTAAGTCTCATTTCAATTAGGTAATTTGCCTGTCTGACATTAAGTGACAATGCTAGAGTCTCAGATTTAATAATTATTTATGTCTAGTGACTTTTAACTAACACATGCTGTTTCCTGTAAGCTTCCTTTATGTTAATAAAAAGCAGAATTAGAGCTAACAGATCTGGCCAGCAGTGTTATCTTGTTCTAGATTCAGGAACTATCCATTGCTTTTTCACATTAACAGGCAATATTTGGTCTGTAAGGCAAGAATTAATCTCTTGAAAGCATCCCATCTAAGAAGAGAGAAGAACACTTGCTTTCTCTTTGCAGAAAGCCCCAGTATTACCTACCTTGATAGCATACATTCTCACCTGCTCTGGGCCACTTTTCTCACAGTCGCCTTCATGTTTTATGTCAACTTGGGACCCGGATTTTCTAGAAACAAAAGTTATTAGACCCCCAAATTAGTGTGATGGGACTCTCCAACATTATGACTATCTTTTAATTGTATTGTGACTTGTACTTTTCTCTTGTAAAAAGTGTTCCATTATTTCTTATGTTGTTTTTTTTTTTTTGTCATTTGTGAGGTTTGAATACAGGGACTAGGAGCTGTCGCTGAGCTTTTTTTACTCAAGGCTAGTGCTCTACTATTTTGAGCCACAGCCCCACTTCCGGTAGGGGTTAATTGGAGATAAAGAGTTTCATGGACTTTCCTGCCTCTGCTGGCTTTGAACCACTACTCTCTGACCTCAGTCAGAGAGTGGTGGCTAGGATTATAGGCATGAGACACTAGCACTTTTCTCCAATATATTCTTTTTCAATGAGATCGTATGTTTAGAAGTAGGAGTCAAATAAATGTAGGACTAATAAGATTCGGACATAAAATATGATTTCCAGAAGTATTTCTGCTCCCAGTGTCTAGGGCAGCAGTTCACATGAGAAGATGGGCGAAAGCAGATCTGATAACCAGATGCCTAAAGTCCTCCAGGAACCTTGTTGTCATTTTATTTAAATAAACAAATTCAAGCTTGAATTATAATACCACTTTCATTTGAATCATACTGCGACTAGGTTATTTCTATGAAAGCTACCTAAAGTCCTGATTTAAATTAGTTTTATTCAGTCTGGAAAGCTTGAAGTAACATCCAAAAACACAGAGGCATAAGTATAAGCATTTCTATTTTCTAAAACAGTAGAGCTGAGTGCTGAGCTGAGTGCTCAGCTGAGCTAGCTGGGTGCTGGTGGCTCACGCCTGTAATCCTAGCTATCAGGAGGCTGAGATCCAAAAATTCTGGCTCAAAGCCAGCCCACGCAGGGAAGTTCATGAGGTTTATCTCTAATCAACCACCAGAAAACTGGAAGTGGCACTGTGGCTCATAGGTGCTAGAATGCTAACCTTGAGCAAAAGAGCTCAGGGATAGTGCCAAGGCTGCGGGTTCAAGCCCCATGACAACAAAAAAGTAAAAAAGAAGAGCAGCTTACCATATAACATGTATATAACAATGAAAATACAAATACAATTAAAACAATACAAAGAAGAGATGAGTATATACTAAGATAATTTTTATAGTATATCAGATAATGGAATCTACTGTAATGATATCTCAATATGATGGGAGAGTCCACCCCGGTGTGTGGCATGATCTTCTGTGTGGAAGTAAAAATATTCAGGGAGAGAAACTTTCTCCTAGGCCAGAGAGTTAACAGGATTTTCCCACCTCAAACAGTAAAAATAAAATGCATATTGTAGGCATAGTTATGTTTGTATATAAGTATACACACACATATATACAGTAACTTTGTCCTTTTTATATTTCTTTTTCTTTCTTTGTTTCCTTCCTTCCTTCCTTCCTCTCTCCCTCCCTCCTCCTTCCTTCTTCTCTTCCTTTTTTCCTTCTTTCCTTCCCTCTTTTTCTTTTTTCTTTCTTTCTTTCCTTTTTCTTTCTTGTACTAAGAGTTTAACTCAGGACTTTTAGCTTGTTAGGCAGCTGCCCTATAACCTAAGCCAGGCTTCTATCCCTATTTACTAGTTCTTGATATTGACCCTTGATGAGAGTTGAAACCTTAATTTTAGCATGTTTATTGGAAATGAAGCCAGGTGAGGGACCCAAATGATTTAATGAAGTTTTATTTTTGGTGAAGATACTTATTACAAGAAAAAAAATAAAACTTCCAGAACCTCAAAGAATAACTATTATTACCTTTCTAGCCTTCTCAAAAATTTGTTACATTTTCAAGCATGAAAGGGCATATCATTGAAGACTGAGGTCACAAAGGAAACCTGCAAAGCAGGTTTGCATTTTGTTAGTGAAGGACAATCAATAACCCAGGGTGGAGACAGAATGAGACAAGGGCGTAATCTAGGACAATGAGATTCTTTTTTATCTACTGGTAAAGTTTAAACAGATGGAAGTCGTTCAGTGTTAAAAGTTTCAAGGATGACTATTTTAAAATGATGAAAACACATACCATTTGCTAAGGAAAGTAGTCTGTTTAAGGATCTACTAGGATATAAATAGATAAATAGTGAAAAGACATAGCTCTGCATGCATACAAATGCATGTGTATGCATATCTATAGGTATATCCATATATGTATACATATGTGTGTGCATGGAAAATGTCCCTGTTCTGTTTACTTCATAAAGACCATAGAAATCATCTCACATCGAACACAAAAGTACGTTGTAAATTTGTAAATATTTTATAAGCTTTTTTCTCAAGAGTAGTAAAAGAATTAGAGTTAGTGATCTATAGCTTATAGATGACCAGCTCCTATAACTACGCTGTCTTAGTGACTGTAGGGAATGCTGTCCATTACGTGACCCCGCAGACGCCACGCTGCATGGAGACCGCCTGCTCGGGCCTGTACTCACGCATTCTCTGCGCAGAGCTCGCAGCGGCTGCGGTATGTCTTCCCGTCCGTGCCACAGACAGCAGCAGCAGCATCGGTGCAGACGAAATCCCCATCCTTCCTGTCTCTCTTGAATTCATTGCAATTCAGCTGCAAGAGACAGGATTGTAATCAAGACATATCAAAACATATGCGATAAAAATATTCCTTATATACATCAGCAAGCTGGCATTTTTAACTCAGAATAACAGAACTCACTATATATGTTAAAAAACAAACAAACAAAAACACAACTCAACATTTTAACTGGTTTCTGGTGGCTGTCTGTAATCCTAGCTACTTAGAAGACTGAGATCTGAGGACAGAAGTTCAAAGCCAGCCTAAGCAGCAAAGTCTGTGAAACCCTTATCTCCAATTAACTACCAAAAAGCTGTAAGTAAAGCTCAAGTTGAAGACCACCAGCTTTGAAGGAAAAAGCTAAGGGAGAGAGCTCAGGCTCTGAGTTCAAGCTCCAGTACTGACACAACAAACAATCTCTCTGAAATATAATCCACTGTTTCTCTGCCAAATTCTGCCTGCCTACTTCACAGATCCATCCTGAGGATCTGCCAATAATCAATATGAAAACTCTGTAAAAGCTGTAAATGACAATAATGCTTCAATTACTATAAACTGCCACAGTAATTTAAAGCAAGATTTTAGAAATCACAACTGTAGCGATTAAAAGCATAAATTCCTGGGTTCAGAGTCCATAATTATGCCAGTCACTTAGCTCTGTGATCTGGGTAAGTATCAAACCCTCTTTATATTTAAAGATTTCAAATTAGTTTGAAAATGGGCGTGATTTCACCAACTTCCCAGAACTGGAAGGGACTAGAAACATGTGAATAAATGCATACTAGTTAGAGCATATAACCATCTCTTTTATTTCTGTTCTTATTTGAAATGTTTTCCTGTACTGATAAGCAAGATAGGAAAATTGCATATCTTTCAGGGATGACAAGAGAAATTCTAAAATCTTGGCTCTGATGATGTGACAAATGCTCAGGACAAACCTGTAGGGTGAGGAAATTGCAGCAGGTGGTAACTGAAGATGATTGTTCAAATTCAGGGCTTCCACCCACTCATTTTACCTCCATGCACCTCACTTTCCTCATCTGAAAAATGGGAATTCACACCCTACCTACATTCCAGATTTGTGGTAAAGATCAAATAAATACTTATGAAACATTGTTATTGTGACATAAGCTAAGTAAAGAACACAGTGAACTTGAACTTAACTTCTATCTAAAATCAAATGACGGCAGCTGGAGGTTTTCTTGTAGGGCAGTACATTGTGAAATAAAATTTTGAAATTATTAAAAATATTTCAATCATATACATACAGCACTTAGATTTTGTACCTGTGATGAAGTAACATGTCACAGATATAAGAAGTATAAGTAGGATGGCCGTGAATTTGTAGTGAATGTTTCAATCTGTGATTACCTTAGAAGACTCTTAAAATATTTTAAAATTCAAACAAAAAAGCTATATCCTCAGCATACATTTAAGAGGAAACACTTTTGCAAAAATAAGGTAAATTCTAGGCATATATGCTATTTCAGTCATTCATTTGCTGATGTATTCAATGAGATTCATACAGTTGGTGAGAATTTAGGTGTATTTCAACACTATAAGTCTACCATAGCAACTAAGTGCTGGTGGCTCATGCCTATAATCCTAGCTACTCAGGAAGCTGAGATCTGAGAATTATAGTTTGTGGTTTGTGTTTCATGGTTCAACACCAGCTCAGGCAAGGAAGTACATGAGACTCTTATTGACAATTAACTACCAAAAAGATAGAAGTGGCGCTGTGGCTCAAGTGGTAGAGTACAAGCATTGAGCCAAATAAGCTGAAGGACAGCAGCCAATCCCTGAGTTCAAGCCTCAGAACAGACACAAAAAAGAAAGATTGAATAACACAACAGAAATCAGAGATCAACAGCTCATTCTAGGTCACAGGTATTGCAGCGAGATGCTAAGGAAGCAAGAGGTCAGGCGGGCGGTGGTGAGGCCAGGTGCAGACATTCTCTACTCCACCTCCTTCCCCACCAGGCTCCTGAGGTGGGTGTATCCCAGCCTACAGCAAACTCCTCTTCCAGTGGTGGTGATCACTGGGAGCTCTTAAGTGGCTTCGGTTCTCATCACAGGGCAGCAGCCCAGAGGGCAAGGTAGTGGTTTTAGAACACTCGACACTGAGCTTTGTCCTTTGCCTTCTCAGTCTACTCAAGGAAACATGGCCTGGAAAATTCTCTCACCCACTGGAGCAGAAACATCAGCTAAAGTCATAACGGAATCTTACAGGAAAATATTTGTACATCTCAAGCAGTGTTAAGAAATCCAACATACTAAAGTAAACAATGAGTGTCAAGGGATCATAATTGGTGGAATAAATAGAAAAATAGTTCACGAAAAGTAAAAGTGTTCTTCTGGAATTCAGATGCCTATAATGTGAAACAAGAAAACAAAAATAATAAAGAAAAATATGGGAGTACAGGCAATGGCTTATATCAAGTGGTGGATAAAGCTCCCTGTGCCATAAAAAGAAAACCAAAAGAAGAAAAGAGAAATTGTAAAGAAAGAACCAAGTGGAATATTTGCATTTTTGAAATATTTAAGTAGTAAAAAGTAAAAGTATATAAAGACAAAAAATGAGATTTGTGCAGGTAGATAATCATGGTTTGGCGGCAGGAAAGTCCCTGAGAATCTTATCTACCATTAGTCACAAAAAAAGTCAGAAGTGGTACTGTGGCTCAAGTGGTAGAACTCTAGCTTTGAGCAAAAGGAGCTCAGGGAAAGCACTCAGGCCCAGTGTTTAGCTCCAGGACAGTCAAAAAAATGAATGAATGAATGAATGTGATAACATCATATGAAAGCTTCAGAAAATGTCATAATATACCTGAAGTAACACATATGGACAATTATATCCACAAATTTAAAAATGCATAGATGGTCTTTTGTGTGTGTGTGTGTGTGTGTGTATGTGTGTGTGTGTGTGTTTCTAGTCATGGGGCTTGAACTCTGGGTCCAGGTGCTGTCCCTCAGTACTTCAGCTCAAGGTTAGTGCTCTACCACTTGAGCCACAGCACCACTTCCAGTTTTCTGGTGGTTAATTAGAGATAAGAGTTTCATAGACTTTCCTTCCCCAGGCTGGCTTTGAACCACAATCCTCAGATCTCAGCCTCCTGAGTAGCTAGGATTACAGGTGTGAGCCACCAGTGGCCAGCTCATAAATAATTTTCTAATGAGATTAACCATATTCTTATCACAAGAGAAGATTAAAATAAAAAACTATAACTGTGTTAAAACAAGATAAAAATATAAAAGACAAAATGAATACGACAGAGCAAACACACTCATATTAATAGTAAAACTAGATATTAGTTTAACATGTATTACAAATTATAAAAGACACAATAATGATTTAAAGGAAGACAAGAAAAATGTATAATAGTGACATATTTTCACCTAATAAATTAGTTATACAATAAACCAATGGTAAATAGTATATAACAGCATTATATACATAAATACAGTTAGAGATATTTTTAAATCTCAGAAACTGATGTATTAACAAAAAATTACAAATATCTTATTCTAGGGGGCTGGGAAGGTGGCTCAGTAGTAAAGTGCTTGCCTTGCATGTGTGAGGCCCTGGGTTCGATTCCTCAGCACCACATAAGCAGAAAAAGCCAGAAGTGGTGCTGTGGCTCAAGTGGTAGAGTGTTAGCCTTGAGCAGTGCCCAGAGTTCAGGTCCCACAACTGACATACACACATACACACACACATATAAATTCTAGTAGGTTTCTATAGAAAATCGCACCTAAGAAAATAAACACTTTCTTAGAAAAAGTAGAAGCATTTGTATAAGTAAAATATTAATTAGGTAAAGAAATAATTTAAGCCATCAATGTCATAAGGTCTATTTGCCTGAACCAAATTCCATGGAATCCAAATAGAAAAGAAAAAATGTCTACACATGTGAAAGTTAAATAAGGTAATTATTGAATAACTTAACTTTGAGTAGATAGGAATTAAGGGATGTTTGATAAATAATGGAAAATGGAAACACCATGTGAATCCTGAGATGGCTGATTATTAATGATTATTAATCTTTTAGATGTGCTTATCAGAAAAATTAATCCATTATAAAATAAGAAGGAAACAAGAAAGGATACCATAGAAGAAAATGGCAATAGAAATATTAACAAAAAAAAGCTAATAGAAGAGATTTCTAGGGTGATTGATAAATGAGAAATAAGATTAAAAAATAAATTTGAAAACTGGGAATAAAAATGAGCTTAGAAGCCAATGACTGCATACTATATCTGTAAGCCAATATATTTGAAAATGAGTATCTCGCTGAAAACATATAAAATGTGAACAGTGGTTCAATTGGAAAAAGTTGAATGGATCAATAAGTATTAATCCACCTGATATATGGCGTTTGGTAGTCTCTCCCTACAATGACCAAACCCAAAAATGTTTATAATCTAATTTTCTAAACTGTTTGAAGAATGCTTTTATAATGATTTACAAGTTAACCTCCAAATAAGTAAAACAAATTAAGCCAATAACAAGCATATAATAAAGTTATCTGATTTAGGTATACAATTACGTGATTTTTACTACATTTATACATTTGTAAAATTACCACTAGAAACCAGTTCTAGAACATTTCCATCATCCTCAAGATAGTCACTAGTATTCTTTGTTCTTTGTGTCCATTTCATATAAATATACTGGCAAATATTTCAATGTTTTGCAATTTTTGTTTGAGGATCATCTATGTCCTAAATGTCAGTAATACCTTCCTTTATTGCTGAATAAAATTTCATTACCAAAATACAGTTTATATTTGGCTTATCCATTCACCAGTTAATATTTAAACATTTGAATCAATTTCACTTTGGACTGTTAAATAATGCTATAAGCATTCATATATACATACACAGATTCATAAACATTCATACAAGTTTTGTGTGGGAAAAGACAACAATAGCAGCAACAACAAAAATCTCATTTCCATTTCTTGGAGTTCATTTCATAAAATATTATTTTACATGATCATATGCACATATCTATCCAGCCTTTGTGATATGCTCCT